TTAAATTGAAAATTGGTTCCCATGAGGGATTTTTTTTTACTACGCCTATAAACCGAATTTACAAAACACACCAGAGTGTAGAAAACCAATTACAATCTCCTATAAGAAGAAGAAAAAAAAAAAAACATGCGACACCATTCTGATAACATCAGCACCACTGCCCGAAGGCAAAAAATAAAAATACACTGCTAAGGTGGCGGGCTTTCCCATAAACACCCCACCAAGCTAGAAAGAAAACTCACCTCTGACTGCAAAGGGTGGTTTCCATCCCACAGCAGAGCTCCTGTTCAGAGTTTCTATGTTACTTTGGGATTACTGCGTAAAATTTGCGATTCGACACAGGTAAGACACAGCTGGAACTAACCTAGCAATTAACACAGCTGCTCAGCGTTTAGGTTTAAATGCATTTTCTGAGAAATCACTCACATTTGGACCATAAACGCTGCGCGTGATGGCTTATGGTTTATATTTGTGTTCTCATGAAAGCCGTCACCAGGCTAATTCCCACAGCCCTCTACCTCTCTCAGTCGGAGCTCTCTTCCCTCTCTGCCTCTCAAATACCTACAGTATTCAGTCGGCAGCTTCTCCACGGGTTCCTTCCATCTCTGTCCCCTTCCCCACCATCAGCACCTCCCAAGGGTGTGCTATTTCATCACCACGTACTTGGCACTTAATTTTACATGGATGTGGGTTGTTCTTTATCCTCTTCCTGTGTTACTCTTTTCTCCCCTGGTTTTAAGTCCCATGTTGGGACTTTCCGTGACCTCAGAGAACCTTGTGGGGTGCTGATTGTGGGTTCAGCAAATATTTATGGGTTTATTGTTTGTTCCAAAGGAGACTCTAATTAATAAAAGAGACTTGGAACATTCATAGCCTAGGTACTGAAAGCAAGGCTGTGGAAGCCAGGCCTGGGCTGCGGCCCCCACTACATCACTTTCCACCCTGTAACTTGGAGTGATTTTCTTCCTTTCTCAGCTCCTTTGCTCATCTCAAAAAGGAGGATAATAATAGTATTTACTTCATGGGATTGTTTGGGGAGTCAATGAAGCAATGAACATAAAATGCTGAGCACAAAGGTTCAGTCCTATTAACAATAAATATAGAGCAAGCACTCAATAAATGGTAGCTATTGGTATGAAAACATTTCTCAAGATAAACTCATGCCTGAACTATTTGGTTGGGAAATGGTGCAGGCAGGTACTGGGGGTGGGGATGCCATCCATCACTGGCGAGTGCTGCCCCCAGGGGGCTCTGCTTAGTACCACTTGCGGCCCTTTTATACTGAAAGAAGATGAGTCTGATGTCTTCTATTTGGCTGTTTAAAACAACTCCTAGTAACTAATATGGGCACTCCTTCCTCCTCTCCCCTCCTCTCCCCTCCTCTCCCCTCCCCTTCCCTTCTCTCTGTCTCTCTTTTTCCTTTTGGTGGAGTCTCGCTCTGTCGCCCAGGCTGGAGTGCAGTGGCACAATCTCGGGCTCATTGCAAGCTCCTCCTCCCAGGTTCAAGCGATTCTCCTGCCTCAGCCTCCTGAGTAGCTGGGACTACACGCGCACGCCACCACACTTGGCTAATTTTTTGTATTTTTAGTAGAGACGGGGTTTTACCATGTTGGCCAGGCTGGTCTCAAGCTCCTGACCTCAAGCGATCCACCCGCCTCGGCCTCTTAAAGTGCTGGGATTATAGGCGTGAGACACCGCACCCAGCTGTAAGTACCTATTTTTCAAAGTTTTATCAGCTACTATAGTTATACAAGGGCATTAACACCAGGGGTTGCTGGGTGAAGGGTGTACGAGAACTCTGTACTATGTGTGCAACTTTTCTGAAAATTTTAAATTACTTTAAATTTAAAACGTTAAAGATGTAATTACTAATTAGTTATTTCCTTGAGCCTGACTTTCCATACTTAAGATTGGATTCCCTTCACACACACAACTGTACTTCAAAAATAGACTCCAATTCTTATGGATACTGTCATCAAAATATCTTCTCTCTGCATCTGCCATTTAAATATTTAGCCATCCAATTTACCATCTGTGTGACTCTGGGTGAGTCACTTCATTTCCTTGTGTCTCTGTTTCTTCATCTATAAAGTAAGGATAATAAAGTCAACTTCTTCACAGATTTGAATAAAAGTTAGTACATAAAGTACTTAAAAAGTGGTCCTGTGGGGGAAGCACTGAGTAGCTGTGAGCTGCTGCTATTATTTGCTATGGTCTGAATTCATATCTTAAGACTGGATTTCCAGTGTGATAGTATTAAGAGGTAGGGCATTTGGGAAGTAATTGCTTTGGGATATTTCATCCAAACGCAGAGCCTTATAAAAGAGATAACAGGGAGCAAGTTTGCTCCTTGCACCATGTGAGGACACAGCCTGTCTTCCTTTTCCATGTGAGGACACAGTGAGAAGTGCCATCTATGAAGCAGAGACGGAGCCTTCACCAGACACTGAATCTGTTGGGGCCTCGATCTTGAACTTCCCAGCTTCCAGAACTGTGATACATAAATCCCTATTATTTATAAATAACCCAGTCTAAGGTATTTTGTGATAGTGGCCTGAATGGAATAAGACATTATTATTATTAAACTTGCTGAATTCACATTCCTAGAGTGGAGCTATAGTTCTACAAAAATTTGTAAACTAATTCTCAAGGGACTTGGCCCAGATAGTTGCCATAAGTAATACTGGCTGGCTTTCACATGTAAAAGGTCGATGTCCGACCCAGTGAAAGGTATTGTTCCTTAAGCTGATTCTACAATTGTGAGTCAAGTTCAACTCTTGGCAATAGTAGAGGAATTAGCCTGATGTAAGCTCTAGCACAAAGAGGTCTGACGTTTCTCTTCCACCTGTGTACCTGTGCCACTCCAGCCAGGGCATCTGCGCCTCTCTGTGCAGTTTTAGATCTGCAAGGCTGTTGAGGCTCATACGAGAGACTGGAAGGTTCAGGCAGTACATATGGTTGCTGCTTTTATTACCGAAGGCGGCACGGGGTGTGTCCAGCATGCACAGTGTGCAAGTTTTCCTTTATCTAGAAACACAAAGAATGCCAGCTAAACATTTAAATGCTCTGTCCAGGCATTCTTGCCTTACAGTGAGCCATAAGGTAGCCACATGTAAACCCATAATTAAACTCTGAATATTCACCTGTGATGTCTACTCTATTGCCAACAGCAGTCGCTTTGGAAATAAAGGAAAAGGTAAGAAAAGCATAGAAATGTTTAGCCCATAGGCATTCTACTTTATGCTCCTTGATCCTTTACCACCTATGGACATTAGGTGTTATGGTAATTTTCCCCTTGACTGCAAAATCTGCCCCCCCATATGTGGTTTTGACAATGTGGAAGCCTTAGTAGAAAAGAGAAACAAGAACAAGGCTGTGATGTTGCAGAGGGGTCTCATGGCCTAGATCATGGCCCCCAAGGAACACCATCTTCCTCTGGGCAGAGAGCAGCAGTTCCCAGTCAGAGGGGCCCTGGCTGTCAGATAAGGGCAGAGTGGATTCCAAGGACAGCATCAGCCCATTAAAAAGAAATGCAGGTGACAGCCACAGCCCCAAAGGCATTATAGGGATGGTCTTGAGAAAATAAAAGAATTTCTCTAAAATCTACAAAAAGTCAGAAGGGATTCTGTATCTATGATAGGGATTTCATTCCCAATTCCATTCTGACCATCAGCTATAGCTGGTTTCAAGGTTATCCGGAGGCAAACTGTTACTCCCTCCTAGCGATACCTTGGAATCCTGTGGTTTTCTTTGAGTTCTTACCTGAGAGGGCAGCCCTGGTTCGAACATTTGCTTATCTTTCAAAGGAAAAACCTGAGGATGTTTCCAAAAGTAAGCTTTTCTTTGGAAGCCCCCACCTTTCCTTTTTTTTCTTAAACAGATCCTCCTAAGCCCTTCTTCTATGTTTTCTGTTATCTAAGCATAATAGATTAGCATCAGTCTTTCCATGTTTATGACAGCTTCAAATTCCTAGATACAAATGGAAGATACCTTTGCTGATCAAATCAAGATGAATGCCCTTGTCAACAAGAGTAATGTATACAGTTGGTCACTCCGGGACCCCCAAGTACAAGGAAATAGGCTGATGCCTGAGAGTTCAACCACACACCAACATGGAGTGGGTCATGGTACAGAGAACTCAAGTCATCTTGAGGACACGGGATGGGTCCTAGGCCAATAGGACTCCAGGATAACTTGACTGAGTGTGCCGATTAACCGAAAGTGGATTTGGTGGGAAAACCAAAGGAAAAGCCATGCTATGGCAGAGCCCACCCAGAAACAGCCCCGAGGAGGGAGTAACCAGGCCCGTGGACAGGGAATTCCGGTCACCTAGCCAGGCTGTTTGTGGGAGGTGTGGTAATTACAAGCACAGTATCTGGAGTCAAATGCCTCCATTCCCATCCCAGCTCCTCACTTACTAACTGTAACACTGCAAAGTACTGATCTGTGTCTCAGTGTTCTCTTCTGGAAGATGAAGTTAATAACCAGCTAGGTGTCAGGTCTAAATAATTAATCTATGTGAAGTTCCTAGCACCATCCCTAACACAGGGGAAGCAAAAGCACTCAACGACTGTTGCTGTTTCTGAGGTGGATTTATTGGGCCATCACAGCCCAATGCCACAAAACACCTGGGTCATCCATTCATTTGCCTCCCCTTGTTCTAGTTCCACTCCCTCCAACAGCATTTTGATTAACTGGCTCCCCTGTCACCGGGAGGAGAGTATACAGGCCATGCTGTCAGAATAGTCCAATCCACACAGTGGTTGTGACTTCGTGTGACATTGAGTATTTGGGAATTTGGGTGTACAGACCCGTCTCCTGGGAGGTGTATTAACGTGAGGGATCAGAGGGCTGCAGGGCTCCCAGACAGTGATGGTTCCACCAGGACAACTGCCTCTCCAGAGGCCTCAGGGCATACAGCTCAGCCCCCACCCTGCCTTAATATCAAACTTCATCCAAATGCCTGCCCACGATGCTGCTCCGGGATGAGCAAGCCTTACCTGTGACATGGAGCTTTTCATCAGCAACCTCAGCCTTTAGGTAAATCCGCCCTCTCTTCTCTGTGTGATCCATTCCGCAGAGGCTGGGGACATTGATGACGCATTGCTTGTGAACGTTCATATCGCAGGCTGTGAATCAAGAAAGCAGAGGGTGAGCTGGGCATATGGACTCCAACCACCGCTCCTCAGTGTTTTGGTGCACGAGCAGAAGTGAAAATGAGTTACCCCCAACTCGATACTTTGCTATACTGTTTTTGGTGACATAAAGAACTGTTAGCAGATGTCCTGTACAGCACAGGCTTCATGTGAGTGACAATATCCTTAAAATACCCATACCATATTTGCTCAATCTTCACTGAAGCAAAATATCCCAGCTTGGCCTTCTGTGATTGTTTCAAATATTTAACAGTATACAAAATTCACACAGGTAAATATGTACAAAGCTCAGCTTAATTAATATTTTATGTACACAGAGGCAAAGTAATATGAAAATTTTAAACATAGGATTTTTTTTTTTTTTTCTTCAGACAGGGTCTCCTTTTGTCTCTCAGGCTGGAGTGCAGTAGCATAATCCTAGCTCAGTGCAGCCTTGAACTCCTGGGCTCAAGCGGTCCTCCCATGTAGGCCTCCTAAAGTACTGGGACTACGGATGTGAACCACTGCTCCCAGCTTAAACATAAGACTTTTTGCTAATGAATTCTGTATGCTTTTCTGGGCTTACCACTGAGAAACAGTGAAAATCTGCAGATTGAGTATAGAAAATTCATTAAATTTTCCTTTCCTCAGCTAACCTTGTATTTTCAACAAGGTTTAAGTACACTGCCTGTGTTTTTTTCCCCAAAGAACTTGTATTTGGTATTTTAAACCTGTCTTCAAATATTTAAATATTATTCCAAGTAAAACAAATACCCGCCTAGCATGATCAGCCACTCCTTACAGCTGACATTATGTGGGTGAGACAGGGGGAGGATAAAAAAAGATCAGTATTATTGCAATGAACCAAAGAAACCCTGAAAAGAATCCTGTGTGCCGGAAACAAACAGAAGACCGTGTATAGGTGTTCTAGCTCGATCGTCCTTGTACCTTTAGGCTTCCAGAAGGAGGGAAGGCCCCTGGAATCCTCACGAATCCTTGCCAGGATGCTAATAAGGTTATTCCGTAATCATCAAGGTGAGGTCTTCCTCTCTGTTTCATTTGGAGTGTTTAATTTTAACATGACAAAGTAAATTGAAAAAGCATCATGAATAATGTATACCGCTCCGATTAAAGACTGACAGCAGAATGATGGACATGCTGAGGAAAGAACAATTAGCTAATTCACAAATGTGGATGCTATTAGGCTTCCATTTCCAAGGCTAACTGTTCAAAATTCTACACTTCGAATTTAGCCAATATAAAGGCTCCTGAAAAGCTGTGTTATGAATGTCGCTTGCGTTAACCATGTCGTGTGTTTAAGTGTCCGGGCAAAATTTGCAATGTGAAGGCAGTAAATGCCAGAGCCTCTGGAAAGCACACAGGCAACGGGGAGGGTACGGGAGGTGAAAGTGCACTGGGCCGTGTTCCAGTCTCCGCTGTATATCTTGGGAAGCTCATTTGTTCTAACTTCATTTCCAGCTCTACAAAATGAGAGGTTGGCCCACTCGAGTTGTTGTTGCTAACTGCCCCCTGACGCCCTGCCCCATCCCAAGTGGAACTCCATCTAGGATTACAATTGCACAAGGTGGAAGGGCACGGGAAGAGGCTTTTTCTCTGCAGAAGTTAAGGTCAGTAGGGGTTGCAGTTCTGGGGCTCATCAAAGGAGCACAGGCGGCAGCCACAGAAGCCTTAAGATTCCTAAGAAAAAGAGTTTAAAACAAAACCAAACAAAAAAGCATTGGTCCAGGTCAGCGGTTTTCAAAATTTTTTTTAGTAAGGAAACCATTTTGCAAACAAAATCTAAAGCAGAATCTAATTATGTAAACCACATGAGTGTTATTTTATTAGCATCAACTCAGCTAACAAACGCAAATTTATACCATATATTTATTATAAAGACATTCAAGGATCACCAGTAAAGCCCTCCGATACAAACAGAACTTTGAAACCAGTGGTTAGGGATGCAAGTTGATGTCTCAGACCAGCCTCCACATCTCATTTATTTTTGCATTTTGTTAAAGTGGTACAGGATCCAAAACTCCTGATTCACACAGAAAACTATGTACAAACAGGAACAGTGTCTAATGGTATGCTTCCCCATCCCAGCCGACTCTTCGGTGAAGAGGATGCTGTAGCAGAAACCAAGTTCTGCCCAAGGAGTGAAGGTTGAGTATGTAACATGTTCAAATGTTTATTTTGTTCCCAGTTTTGAAGTAGTTAAAATATATATACAAATGCACTTAAGCTGTAAGCCCTTGCAGAACCCCTGAAAACCATATCTTTGGAATCCTAGGATTTTTTTTTTCTCTAGTGTTTTGAGACCAAGTTTCACTTTTGTTTGCCCAGGCTGGAGTGCAATGGCACAATCTTGGCTCACCGTAACCTCCGCCTCCCGAGTTCAAGCTAGTCTCCTGCCTCAGCCTCCTGAGTCGCTGAGGATTACAGGTGCCTGCCACCACCCAACTAATTTTATATTTTTAGTACAGACAGGGTTTCACTATGTTGGTCAGGCTGGTCTTGAACTCCTGACCTCAGGTGATCCGCCCGCCTCGGCCTCCCAAAGTGCTGGGATTACAGGTGGAAATCCTAGGGTTTCTTGAAGCAAACAAACATGGCATTTGGTTGTGACGCTGTACAACTCTGTAAGGTGAAGAATCTCTGTGTCTGAGAAACTCCATCTACTCTATAATGCTCGTTTATGTTCCTTTTTCTACAGTTTGCTCCATGTAAGATACAAATATCAGCTTCTGGCCGTCATAGCAAATGGCAATAGTCATTAGCAAATGGCAATAGGCTGAAATTTCCACAGTGCTTCCCAACCTATTAGAAAAACAGGCTGGGCAATTAACTTTTCATGTCCTAAAAGTATCAACTTGTATTTAAACAAACATAGCCTGAGGAATCTCATACTTTAAGAACGATCAAAGCAGGCTGGGCGCGGTGGCTCACGCCTATTATCCCAGCACTTTGGGAGGCCGAGGCGGGCAGATCACCAGGTCAGTAAATGGAGACCATCCTGGCTAACACGGTGAAACCCCAACTCTACTAAAAATACAAAAATTTAGCTGGGTGTGGTGGTGGGGGCTGTAGTTTCAGTTACTCGGGAGGCTGAGGCAGGAGAATGGCGTGAACTCGGGGGACAGAGCCTGCAGTGAGCTGAGATCGCACCACTACACTCCAGCCTGGTTGACAGAGAGACTCCATCTCAAAAAAAAAAAAATGATCAAAGCAAAGAGTCTTCATAGTTGCTTTTTTTCCTCCTGGTAGTTGATGGAGATACACACATAACAAAAAATAACAGAAAAGGGCTGGTGTCTTGCTTGTCAGTGGTCCTCAGTGTTCTGAGCCGGGCTGATACACATTTGATCCATCCATAAACATGCAGGGTGAGTGAACTTAAATAAGATGCTATTCTGGTTTTTATGTTCATTTTGGTTTCAGTTTTAAGAAGAGCCTACTGGATTTTTCCACAGTCCACCCACTAATTAGAGACACAGGAAGATAATGAGTATGGTTGCTTGGCTTATTTTGAAGCTAACCAAATGTGGACCCGGCGGCGGGAGGCTTCTTTGGGGTTTGACTAGGCTATATTTTACAGTGATTGAAGACTTCTGCCACAAAAAAAAAAAAAGGAAGAAAAAAAAAAGTGACAGCACCCCCCACCTCATTTATAAATCGAGTGCTTTTTTGGGGTTCATAATGAGGCAATCAAGTAGTTTAATAAACTGGAACTTTGACAGTGGAAGATTCTACACTTTGTCAGTCTGGTATATATCTGAACTAATTCTCTCTATTGAAGAGTTGGTGTTGAAAAGTTACTGAGCCCTCCTTGCTCAGCAAACCCTGAACATGAGCTACAGAGCCTCGCTATGAACTGGAAAAGAAAACTTACTTACTGTCACATTTCATCCCTTGGTGGATAAGTCCATACAGCAGGGACCCACAGTGATCGCAGAAGGTGGGGCTTCCGTAAGTGTGGATTTTGAACTTGTGCTTGCTCCTGGGGTCCTGGGAGGAGAAGAAGCACAGTGCTCATTTTAGTCATGAAAGGACCACGTTTTTAGATTAAGCCAAGCTCAGGCCCCACCACTCCCCAATTTAAATAATTAAATATAACTTAAATTTATATAATTAAATGTAAATTTAATTTATATAATTAAATATAATTTAATTTATAAATATAAATATTAATTTAAATATAAATTAAATTTATATTTAATAAATATCTAAAATAGTTACTGGTTTGTTTCTTTTTTTTGAGATGGAGTCTTGCTCGTCTCCCAGGCTGGAGTGCAGTGGCACGATCTCAGCTTATCGCAACCTCTGCCTCCCAGGTTCAAGCGATTCTCCTGCCTCAGCCTCCAGAGTAGCTGGGATTACAGGCACCCGCCACGATGCGGGTATTTTTGTACTTTTAGTAGAGATGGGGTTTCACCATGTTGGCCAGGCTGGTCTTGAACTCCTGACCTCAGGTGATCCACCAGCCTTGGCCTCCCAAAGTGCTGCGTAAGCCACTGCATCTGGCCTGCATCGTGTTTTACATAATGAATACCTATGTTTCCTCTCTTTATGGGGTGAAATTTGCACATACCACGGTTTCCACCAAAGCTATTACTTCTGGAGCTATGGTCACCAAAGCCCTTGGGGACCAGTAGAGTGTTTTAAACAACTTGGCATCTCGGTCTTCCCAGTGCCTAGCACAGGCTGGGGCACAAGTAGACACAACATTGGTGTGTTTTTGAAGCTGAAGAGGAAAAACCCTAAATGGATCATTCCGAAGATCTCCTCTTGGACAGGGTATCCAGAAATACAATACACTGTGAAACCAGATCTACATCCAAACTGACAGGTACATTTTCTTGCTTCTGCACCATCTCCAAAGTATTTTATGCTTTTTATAGGGAAACTCAGCATGGTCAGATGAAAATTGGAAAGGCACTGACATTACGCTTCCCCAGAGCCCACTGCAATTTCATTACCTTCTCTTGCATACCACATAGAGCACCGAAGGTGCAACCAGACATCTTTTTTCTTTAGATTTTTAAGCTTTTGTTCCTCAACTCACAGATTATGGATAGGGGAGGAAAATTATATACAGAAGACCATCGTGGTTAAAGAGCATAGACTCTGGAGTCACTGCCTGGGTTCAGGTTCCAGCTCTGCTACTTCCCAGAGGCATGGCCTTGGGTGAATTACTTATCCTTTCTGCCTCATCTGTAAGCTGAGAAATTAACAGCATCTGTCTTCTGTGGTTACTATAAATAAGGACAAAACGAGTCAGTCTTTGTAAAATGCTTAGAAGAGTGCCGTATCACAGGGTAGGTGGGTACCACGCAGGTAGAGCAGACAAGCACCTCTGCTTCTGGGGCCTCTGCTTATTTTTTTATTTATTCAATTTTATTACTTTTTTTTTTGAGACGGAGTCTTGCTTTGTCACCCAGGCTGGAGTGCTGTGGCACAATCTCGGCTCACTGCAACCTCTGCCTCCCAGGTTCAAGCGATTCTCCTGCCTCAGTCTCCCGAGTAGCTGGGATTACAGGTGCCTGCCACCACCCCTAGCTAATTTTTTTATTTTTAAGATTTTTTTTTATTTTTAGTAGAGACGGGGTTTCACCATGTTACTCAGGCTGGTCTCAAACTCCTGACTTCAGGTGATCCACTTGCCTTGGCCTCCCAAAGTGCTAGGATTACAGGTGTGCGCCACCGTGCCCGGCCTCCTCTGTTTATTAATATATAAAAGTAGGCTGGGCATGGTGGCTCACACCTGTAATCTCAGCACTTTGGGAGACCGAGGCAGGCAGATCACCTGAGATCAGTAGTCTGAGACCAGTCTGGTCAACATGGTGATACCTTGTCTCTACTAAAAATACAAGAATTACCCAGGCATGGTGGCACGTGCCTGTAATCCCAGCTACTTGGAAGGTTGGGGTAGGAGAATCGCTTGAGCCCAGGAGGTGGAGGTTGCAGTGAGCTGAGATTGTGCCACTGCACTCCAGCCTGGGTGACAGAGCGAGCCTCCATCTCAAAAAATAAGTAAATAGTAGAGCTCCGAGCTTCTACTCAGATGATCCATTTGTCTACCATCCAAGTACTAACCAGACCCCACCCTGCTTAGCTTTCGATCAGGCCTGTACAGGGTGGTATGGCCATAGACTCAGCTGTTCTATTGGAACTACAAAAACAATTTCATACTCAACATGTACCTATCAGGACTCATTCCTGTTAAGTTCTTCCTCTTGAATCACTCTTTGTGGCCTAAGCAACTGTAAAGGCAGAGTGGCCATCTACTGAATTAAGCAAGACCTTAGAAAAGCAGGGTTTGGGGCAGGGCAAGAGATCCAGAGATCTACTGTAGACATGCCAAGCTTGAATTACCCTTTCTCCCAGGGTTTCTGTAATGCAAAGTGACACAAAGTAGAATATTCTTGGCTGCTGACTTTCTGAGGGCCTTGGTGCTGGTGATTTCGGGGAATTCCAAAGGTGATTCTGACTATAAGATAATTCACCTTTTGGTTGACTATGGAACCTAAAGCCTAAGCCACATACATGCCAAAGGCTTGTTATGACTACTTTTCTTTTTTTTTTTTTTTTTGAGATGGAGTCTTGCTCTGTCACCCAGGCTGGAGTGCAGTGGTGCAATCTTGGCTCACTGTAAGCTCACCTCCCGGGTTCATGCCATTCTCCAGCCTCAGCCTCCCGAGTAGCTGGGACTACAGGTGCCCACTACCATGGCCGGCTAATTCTTGGTATTTTCAGCGGAGATGGGGTTTCACTGTGTTAGCCAGGATGGTCTCGATCTGCTGACCTCGTGATCCGCCCGCCTCGGCCTCCCAAAGTGCTGGGATTACAGGTGTGAGCCACGCCCGGCCTATGACTACTTTTTAAAGATTTGAGAATTCTGAAATAGTTCAATCATACAGAGAAGTATAAAGAATAGTAAACCCCTCGTGTCTGCACCACCCAGAACTTATAAAAGTGAGCATTTTTCCCTAGTTTTTAATGTGAAATTATCCTCGTTTTACAGAGATGTTAGTGACCTTCCCAAAATCACATGGTTGATGAACATCAGAATTCAGATTTTTTTTATATGAAATGGTTTACACATTTGCATGTCATCCTTGCACAGGAACAATGCTCATCTTTGTTTCACTCCAAGTTTTGTATTTGTGCTGCTTAAGAGAGCACAGACCTACGATGTGACCAACATTGGATTCCCATCCCAAGAGCTTTTGGAGATCTACTCAGAATGAGGATCTGGCTCTCAATATCTTTACAACAAATTTTTATATTTGCAACACTTTTTTTTTTTTTTTTTTTGGAAACAAGTCCACCACCTGTTTTTGTAAATAAAATTTTATTGGAAAAAAGCCATGCCCCTTTATTTACATATTTTCTTTGGCTACAATGGCAGAGTTGAATAATTATGACAGAGACTGTGTGGGCCACAAAATCTAAAATATTTACTATTGGGGCCCTTTTAGGAAAAGTTTGCCAAGCCCTGCTTTAAGACAGGGGTTTTCAAAGCATGGTTCCCACACAGCATCACATCACCTGGAACTTGTTAGAAAGGTATAGTATTTAGTCCTTTCCCAGACCAACGAAGTCAGAAACTCTGGGGGTGGGGCCTCCCAGTCTGTGTTTGAGCAGATCCTGCCAGTGATCCTCGTGTCGGCGGACTCACTAACGACTGGAAAACTACTGCTCTAGAAGGTCATTCAACAAATATTTAGTAAGTGTGTCACAGGTGCGAGGTGAGTACCTAGCACCTCTATGTGCAGATGATTAATGATATCCTTGAGGCGGGTCAGTAGTTTACCTCCTAAATGTCTCTCTCAGGGTATGAAAAATCAGCATCTTCCTTGACAGCTTATTTCTTCTGGAAAGTAGTAGTTGGGTCTATGGTATGAAGTATGACCTTAGATTTCCACCATTAGAGAAGCCCACCAATTTTCCCAGGATTCCATGACATCAGGAAGAATGTTCAGCGAGTAAGCTGGTGCCAGCACCAATTAAAAGTACCTGTGTTGACAGGAAAGGTTGTGTCCTACAGTGCAGAGGGCACAGAAGATGCCAGGGGAAACGAAGGAACCAGTTTTCCCTGCAGAAACGAGTCATCAACAAATGGCACTAAATAAATAAGGAATGGCAGCTTGCACGGAGCCCTTAGGAGTATGTGCGTGCCAGGCAGCCCCAGGGTGGTTGTCATACCAGTTGGTTGTCACATAGATCTCCATTGACGTGGCACACAGGCAACTCACTTTTCAGGAAAACCTAAGGCTTACTCATGCAACAGCCATATGGCACCTTCAGGATCTCACCGTTTGGAGGTGTAGGAAGAGAGGAAACCATCACTTCCACCTCCTGCCTAAGTCTGGAGAACCGGCAAGTCTTGGTGTCGTCACACCCCAAAATTATGTGTGGCCAAAGATCCTGCCTATGAATTACAACAATGACAGTAATAATAATAGGACCAGCTGTTTGTTGATCAGCAAGTGTGCACAGGTGCTTTACAATAACCAAGATCTTTGTTTAGAACAAGAGATTCTCCTATGAGAAGATCACTGAGCAGGACTGTGGAGACCTGTGTTCTGACCCTAGTCCCGGCACAAACTTTTACTTTGGAAAAGTCACGTCATTTATTTATAAAGCAGAAAGAAAATCAATCTGCCCATGTCATGGGCAAGGGGTGACACTCAACTTAGGGAATATAAGAGAAAGGCTTTGCAACCTTAAAATCCCAAGACATATATAAGCAATTATTATTATTATTACATTATCCATAGGAGCAAACTTCAAGGTGCCCAGGGTTTCCCCAAAATACTTTAGTGACTTGGGCCTGGATGGGGAGGAACAGGGCAGCGAATCACCCTCAGGCTTCAGAGGTGGTCAGAGTGAAGGCCAAGCTGGCAGAAGTTAAGGGACTTCCTCCTAGTTTCTGCATTCCCGACTTCTGCACCCCAAGCCTGGACTTTCAAGCCAGTCCTCTTGGCAAACGCCCGGAGTGGTGT